GACATCCAGACACAGAGGCCTGTCCATCGGAGTTGATTTCTCAAGAGCAAGGCTTCAATGCTGGTGGACGCAGCTTCATGGAGGACGCTCGCCCTGGTCCGGCAGTCCTCCCATTTGATCCCCAGGATTCAACGCAAGCACCACTGGTGAAAGCTCTCGAGGGTCTTAATGTGGCACCAGCAGACGGTCCAGGTTTCATTGCAGTAGAGGAGAGTGCTCAGCACGACAGCCTTGTAAACGAGGACCTTCGTCGACTTCCAAAGGCCTCTATTTTCAAAGACCAATAGCACTACTTTTCTAAAAAGGATCATACATTCTTTTGGGCCGTTAACTTGAGGACTCTCAGGGTGAAAGTGGCTTTTTATTTGATCCTATGACACATGCCCCCAGCATACAGGTGGTTCTTAAAGGAAGGCAAATGTTGAGCACCCCTATGTATTGCTGTGATTGGCCCAAGAAAATACCAAAACAGATTGGTCCACATGAAATCTAGTTAAATGATGTTATATTCCCCATATTCCTGCTTGATGGCATCTCAGCGGCCTGGAAATGAAAGCCTTTCTTTCATTGCTCATCTCTTAGACCGCACTACTCCTACCCCCGACCCACCATCATAGCATTTGAACTAACAGTTTATGCATCACCCTTGAACTTTCAGGGTAATTCATTCTCCAAAAAAATGACTACACTTTCATTCAAAGGTATTAAAGCAAACTAGTTTTTTTCCAGTTTAAAAATAGTTAATCGTTAAAGTGGGTTTGAATAACCATGAACACTAATGCCGTGAATTAAAACTGGTTGGATTAAACAGCTCTGTAAACAACTAGGTGTATGTAAAGATTAATTAGCCTCATATCAGAACCAACCTAGGAAACAGCATTCAGAATTAGACCTCAGTCTTTTGACTAAAAACAGACACGGGTACATTTTGTGAACTCCCTGCACACAACAGATATGCAAATCTATATGCAAAATACATGTGGGCCTCTGCATGCATAATCGGTATGCACAGTTACCAGGACGGCCGCTACAACTGTACTAACTGACTATGCAAATGGTCTGTTGGAAACTGAAAGTGATTGTACATCCAGTAACAGGTTTTACATATGCAATCGGTGGGACTGCAGCTATGTGCGTGTGAAACCTCTCATAACCTAGCCCGCAACGTTTAAAAAAAAAAATATTCAGTGAGGCATAGAGGTTTAGCCACGTGACTTCCACGAAGGCAAAACGGTTCTGTGCAACAATGACACGCCACCGCGATAATGCAGGGCAAAAAAACAAGCCTCGCTGAACCTTGTTACATGCCACCGTTTGGGCAAGGGAAAGGCTTGAATTCTGCAGGACTTGCGTATTCCCCCAGCACTACCTGCTTGTGTTTCAAGCATTGCACCAGTGAGTCAAAGAGGACTCAGAGTGGGTGGGTACTTTACCAAATTGCTCGGTAAGACTTCAAAAGTTTCAGTTCCTGCACCGGGTTTTGTAAGAACAACACCCTGAAGCGACGAGTTACAAGGCAGTTTGCTCGTCTTTGGGCACGAGCCATAAAGACTTCAAATAACAGCCGCGCAAACAGTTTATCGCAGCACACCCGGCTCCTCTGGCACCAGAAGCTAAATCGAGCGCTGGAAGCAAATGACATATGAACAGGAAAAAGGCATGGGTTTGTACGTGTCTGAAATCCCAGTTGCAGCATCCACTGCGATCCTGAAATAATACCACTTCCTCTTTCTCATCGGTGGCATCCTGAGCGATTTCCTGCCAGGGTTTTGTAAGAGCAGCAGCAAATAAAAGCAACCGTCTCTGAGACAAAGCCATGCTCTGCCTCTGCTTAGGCCCTTCTCTTTACCATCTGGTTCAAAACCACAAGGTAAACAATCAGACATTTTCGAAGCCGTCTCCCTTGAAGTCAGAGCAGTTTATCTCAGTAGTCAAGATCTCTCCCCGCAATTTTTTTTCTTATATGACTACGGTCACTATAAACAGAGCACAAGCTCTCTAGCCAAAAAACACACTGTCCCGGTGGCAGCCTATATGTAACAGCACACAGATAGCTGTTAGCCAAAATGTTCCTGCGCCCACCGCAGCTAATTTTCCAGCTGAAATAGTTCAGTAAGTCTAATGACTTCAAACAAGTTCTATTTACATCTTCACCGGCTGGAGTTTCTTGCATGCACACCAGCCTCTGGCTTCTTTCCTATTCAGTCCATCCAGGAAGAGCACACACCAGCTGCAGATGCTTCCTCAGCCTGCCGAAGGGTGTTTATACCCGAAAGCTGGCAAAGAAGAATTGTTCCAACTCTTTGACTTGGTTTAATCAAAGAGATCAGATTTACCCAAAGAGCCTTGTCTGCCCGTGTCCTTAGACCACCACGGCTACAACGTGCACCCCGTTCAAACAAGATGGGTGTTTCCTATCACGGGATTGCCTTTCACCTTTGGCTGTTGTGAAGTCCCCCACACCAAAGTCACTGCAAACAGCAGATGAATACGGTGTAATTTTCCATACACACACACACACATATATATATATATAACTCTCCTACTACCGCAGATATGCAAGCCCTTGCTTCTTCAGGGTTTATAGCCAAAGTAAGAAGGGATGCTAAATGGCTTCTGGGGTTGAAGAAACCGAATTCTGCCTGGCTTGTCTCCTTTTGACTCCCAAACTGTCCCAAACAGACTCCTTTAAGCTCAGATTCTCTTTCATATTTAAATTGCCGCCCATCTGCTGTGCATGGCATTGCTCAGCGCACAGCTGAATTTAGGGACTGTGCTGAGCCTTTTCTTGGAAGAACGAGATCTCTCCACTCAGGAGCCTGCTGCGGCATCCCCACCTGCCTCGGTACTGCTCGAGACAAGCAAAGCTATAATAGCAGGAAGAAAAATAGCCCCTACCCTCCTACAGCCCCAATCCTTCTCCCATCCCCGTTTGCATGCCTGTGAAATCAGGTGAAATTCCTCACTTGCACTTCAGTTTCTTGGCAGAGAGCAACCTAAAACGAGCCCCGCTGACCCCAGCACGTCGGCTATGTGCTATTTAATAGTTCTGCTCTTCGAGTAGCGTCTTAGTTGCCTGCCTGTTTAATTGAAAGCAAACCATACTGAGTCTCTTTATCAACCATGTTTCTTATTGAATCAGCCTCCAGATCTGCAAGCAGGAGGGGAAGCCAGAGGGGTGTTAGCCGAGGCAGCGCCGTGGGGCCCCGAGCCAGGCTTGCTCCTGACCAACATTGTTTCCTGTGGTAAGGAGAGTTTCTGGTTACCGCAGACTGGCACGTATCAGTGCAGAAATCCTGGGCCCGGAGAAAGAAATGAGCACTGAGCAGCGTTGCCTTTGCTTAACTGTCCCGGAGCTGTGTGAAACGCGCCGCTTTACGTTCGCACGGGTTGAGTAAAACCTTTTGCACCACTGCCTCGCACGAGAGTTGATGCTGGCTCCTTCCTCTGTCTCACCACTTCCCTTAATATGCCGCGTTTGCGGCAGCGTCCACATTTTGCCTGCTTGTGGATAAAATCCCTGCCTGGAGTTTCCTTCCCACTCTGACAGCGTGAACGGGTCCAGCTGGGCTCTGCACCGGATTAGAATAAGTGTGACACCAGTTGTGCTCTGGCTTGACCATAAAGCGTTTGCACAATCACTGCTTCGCTTTGGGATGGGATGGGTTCACAGCGCTGTTCAAGAGCTGTCATTTCACTCCGAGGTTGGTGAAATAGCCCAGCTTTGAATGTCTTTGGTGGCGACAGCACATGAAACGTGAGGACCTGGGGTTTAGAGCGGGGAGTCTCTGCACCAGCCTCCCCACCTGCTCCACCGACGCTACGGCTATCCATCAGCAAAGACAAGTGATTAATGCAGACGCAGCCGCGTTTTAATCCCAGCTCCATTCCTCATCATCTCAAGCAAGTCAATTAACCTTTCTAGGCCTCTGTGAAATGGGGATCGTGACACCTGCCTACCTCACAGCGGCGTTTAAGGATCAATTAGTTAATGTTTGCGGACCGGGTTGAATGAACGCAGTACTTTCTGAGCAATAGATTTCTTCCCAGTAAACGTCCCTAAATTCATAGCAGACCACAGTCCTTTCACCCTACAAAGGCCTCCCTTCGCAGTGTGAAAACCATCATCCTTAGCCAAGGAAGGATCTCAGACGGACGTGAGCCTCGGGTGTGCTGCAAAGCTCCTTGGGCCTCCCGTATATCCAAGCTGAGCACAGCCACAGGCCCTTGAGGCCAGGACTGGTCTGAAAACATGCTTTTGATAGCACACTGCACTTAAAAACTAAGCTTCAAATAGTAGATGCTGGAAAACAATCGTCTGAGCATTTCTAAACAGCACCCCAAATAGGCTTTTAGGAGCCTCTAAGGAAAGCAGGCATCAGGCGAGATGGCTTTCTATTAGCAAGGAGGTTTCTAAGACATGCTTTGGATCAAAGCACTGGACATTTTACTCTGCAAGTACCCACCGCAGCCAACACCATGTCTGAATCTTCTCCCTGGGTTTAGAGGACAGCAATACGGTGCTACACTAATACCGATTGTGCAAAGATGTGTGCAAAGGAGGACTGGAGCTTTATTAGCATGATTTATATCGCAGTGGGCCCCACCAGGATGCAGTTGACATGAGGGCTGCATTTCATTAAGCGCAGGGCAGTCAAATGAAGAGAAGAAGTCCTTGTCACCAAGACCTTGGAGAAGACAGACGTGGGATAAGTGGGGAGACGGAGGCACAGGGAGGTGATGGGAAGATACTAGGGGCAAGGAGCAGATCAGCAGCAGACCCAGCTCTCCCAAAGGTCAGCGCTGTGTTCAATGGGCCATGCTAGGTATCCCACTGATAGCTCTACATGGTGCCAGCTGAGAAACTGGTGCTTGAATCCTGCACTCAGCCTAACCCGCCCGGGGCCGGACGGGGTTTCCAGTTCCTTCCTCACATGCATAGGGCATCCCAAAGCGCTCCTGACCACACACACTATTACAGCTGTTTTCTCTTTCCTTAGACAGCATCAGGTCCCCCATCTGGAGCGAAGATGACCGCAAAGGGCGCAGATGCTCACAAAAAGAAAATTCCCCCTGCCCCCAGGAAGAATTTGCTCCCATTTGATGCAGCCGGCATGTCCCCGCAGCAGCGCTCGCGGTACCTGGCGTTCGTGGAGCCCACTGAGGAAATAGTGAAATCCATACTGGCCTCTCCTGCCGTTGCAATGGAGAAAATGGCCCCGGAGTACATCAAGCGTAGCGGCGACGCAGAGCAAAAAAAGCAGGCCAGGGTCATCGGACTGCTCAAGGCCGCAGAGGCCAGGAACCGCCTCCGAAACTTGAGGCTCCGGTTTCAGGACTTAAGAGTAAGTTCACTTCAGGGCGTTCACCATCTGAGCTGGCTGAACTGGGATGCCACAGCTCCCTTCTGCACCTACACCAACTTGGCCCATTGCATAGGGCTGGAAGGGACCTCAAGAAGTCACATCTAGTCCAACCCCCCGCTCTCTACTGTAGAGCTCTGACTGTGCATGTGCACCTATTCTCCCCTCTGTCATCCCTACATTATCCCATTAGATTCAAGAAAAGGAATCTGTGCATTTAGGACCCATTTGTAAAACAAAAAAGTCCAAATCCTTTTGCTAAACGTTGGCTAGGAGCTGCAGAGTTGCGTGCATGTGCGCTGGTGCGTCTAATGTTAGAAGACAGCTACCCCAGTGGTGTGTGTGGCTGTCAAAGTCGTACGCGCAAATCACCTGTGATGGATCCGCAGCTGGCAATTTGCTTCTGCAATTACTACAGCTTAGTGCACGCAGAGGTGGTAATTGGCTGCACAAATCTTTTGGAATCCTCTTGCTAATTCTCATCAGAGGATCCGAATTCCTGGAAGGAGGAAAGGGTGCGCGTTTCTCTGCATTACCCAGTTCGGGGTGAAAAACATCACGTCTCTAAGGACGGGCTCTCGTAGTCCTGAAAATCATAAAGGCTTCAGGCTCCTGGATCCCTTAAACACTTAGCAAATCCCATCCTAAAACCCTGTCATACCTGCCGGCACGTTTCTTCTCATGGCATTTACTACAGTAGCCCTTCCTGCTTACAGCTGCAGACAGGAGTTTCTCTGCTCATTCCCTGGGAGAAAAGCAACTCTGGAAAAGTTACTTATTTTAGACCCTACCGCTTCAAGGGAGATATTTTTCCCTAATCCCAAACTAAATGATATCATACTTGGCTAGGCCTGTAACCATGGCACTGGAGTTATTTATGACTCTGGGATTACTGCTATAGTTAGCAACCTTGGAACAGGGTTTCTTCTATGCTACTGTCCAACTGCTTCCCTCCCCCAGCCCAGGGCTACTCTGGAAAGCAGGACAGCACATCTCCAGGGGGTCTCGAACTTGCAGTAAACAGCGTCAGCCTCTGCTGGTTTCCAGTGCCTGTGTACAGAGGCACATCTTCTAAGCACAACAAAGGCCTTGGCACTGAGTTTGATGGATCTAATTTTGTTGGGCAGCTTGTTTTTTGTTGAATTTTTTTAAGTGAATGTTAGTGGCCATGAGTGGGCCTGGATTAATGGTGCACAGAAGAGGCAGCTTCCCCACACGCCGCTCCCCGGCCCTGACCTCAGGGAACCAGCTCCCGGGCAGAGAGCGGAGTTCAGTCTTTGTGTTTTGGACACGCTGCTAAGGCTGCTTCAAAGGAGTCTCTTGGTAGTGATGGCTTGTCTGGGAACTAGACTGACAATCCCCATACAGAGCCCTCAGCAGAGATGCCAGAGGGACCCCAGCCAAGCAGACAAGAGCAGAGGCTGATGAGAAAGTCGCTTGATGCTAAATGCAACATTGGACGTGTGCTCACGATGCTGCGTGATGCTAAATGCAACATTGGACGTGTGCTCATGATGCCATGGTGCTAAATGCAACATTGGACTTGTGCTCACGATGCCGCGTGATGCTAAATCCAACGTTGGACATGTGCTCATGATGCTGCATGATGCTAAAGCCAACATTGGACGTGTGCTCATTATGCCATGGTGCTAAATGCAACATTGGACGTGTACTCACAATGCCACATGATGCTAAATCCAACAGTGGACATGTGCTCACAATGCTAAAGCCAACTTTGGACATGTGTTCACGATGCCATGTGATGCTAAATCCAATGTTGGATGTGTGCTACAAGTGTTAGTGAAGTGTCAGGTCTCTCCCTTCTCCCTCAGTCATCCCTAAGGCTTGAAGCCACAGAGCAAGGCTGGGATGATCTAGTTGGGGCTGGTTCTGCTTTGAGCAGGGCATTGGATTAGATGTCCTCCTGAGGTCCCTTCCAACCTAACTTTGCAATGACATTTGCTATGATGCTATGAAAAGCAGAAAAAGGCCAGCCAGGAAGACATTTAAAACAGAATGAGAACAGAGCGAACCCAAGGTGAAAATACAGAGGGAAAGACAAGCAAACGAAAGCAAGGAGGACAGAAACTAGACAGGACGAGGGTAACACGATGGGCCACCAGACCAGAGCACTGATTCAAGGTGCCCAAAGGCTGCCTGTTCGTCTGAAGAGATGGTTCAAGCAGTCTGAGGGATCGAGTGGTTGGAGGACACATTTGGGATAGCAGTGGGATTGTCTGGCTGTGGCAGGTGACTTTCCCTTCCCCGCATCACTTGCATGCTGTCGCTCCAGGTAAAATGCCGTCGTGTCAGTTCAGTTCCACACCACAGGTCAACTCGTTCAGGCCTAAAAGGCCTCAAACCCAATCTGCAGAGCAGGCAGCTCTTGCAACCCCATTCGGTTCCCTGGCCCCAGGAATAATCAAACTCTGCCTGATTAATTTAAAGAACAGCGGGACCAACGGAGAGGGGAGGGTGAGTGCAACTCCTGGTGGGAAAAGAGCAGAAAGGGGCTTGCATTGGGGGCGCGTTAGACCCTCCTTGCTACAACCAACACAATTGCATACATCCTCGTTTTGCCTTGCTTTGTCTTTTTGAACACAGGCGCAGGAGATCAATCACCTGATATCCTGCCAGAAAACTGCCCGCGGGGCGCTGAGGCTGGAGGCGTTTCTCCCGCCCCGCAAGAACATGCAGAAACTCGCCGATTGCTTGGACACGGTTCAGGTATGTCCGGGCGTGTGCCAGCACCTGCACTATTGTATCTCTCCATTTCTAAGTGAAGGGGTGGAGACTTAGCCAGCAAGTTCCTCTCCAAATACCTCTGGTGAGCCATGGGCAACTGAATTGGAGACTGTAAGTAGGAAGAACCAGAGGGCTTGACACAAGATTTAGCTAAGTGTCAGGCCTAATGGGTTATATTGGTCCAGGGCAGGGAATCTGCTCCCAGCTTTGCCCCCGACTCACTTGGTGACCTTGGGCCCATCACTTAACCTCTCTTTGCTGCAGGGTCTCGTGTTACCTATGGGACTTCCATGTGCTTCACCATCCACGTCTTTCCCATGAAGGATGAGAATCACAGTATCATAGAAAATGAGGGTTGAAGGGAGCGCAGGAGGTCACATCTAGTCCAACCCCCTGCTCCAAGCAGGATTAGCCCCATCTATCTCATCCCAGCCAAAGTTTTGTCTACCCAGGTCTTAAAAACCTCCAAGGATGGAGAATGTACCCCCCCTCAGGGTAGCCTGTTCCAGTGCTTTACTACCCTCCTAGTGAAAAAGTTTTTCCTAATATCCGACCTCAACTTCCCTTGCTGCAGCTTGAGCCCATTGCTCCTTCTGTCATCTGCCCCCACTGAGAACAGTCCAGCTCCATCCTCTTTGCAGCCCCCCTGCAGGGAGTTGAAGGATGCTATCAAATTCCCCTCGGTCTTCTCTTTTGCAGACTAAATCATCCCAGTTCCTTCAGCCTCTCCTCACCAGGCATGTGCCCCAGGCCCCCAAACCATTCCCACTGCCCTCCACTGGACTCTCTCTAACTTGTCCGCCTCCTTTCTGGAGTGGGGGGGCCCACAACTGGACACAGGATGCCAGATGTGGCCTCCCCAGTGCTGAATAGAGGGGAGGAATCACTGCCCTTGACCTCCTGGCAACGCTCCTCCCAATGCAGCCCAGGATGCCATTAGCCTTCTTGGCACCATGGGCACACTGCTGGCTCATTCAGCTTATTTTCCACTTTAACCCCCAGGTCCTTTTCTGCAGAGCTGCTGCTTAGCCAGTTGGCAAGCCATAAAGCTATGGTCTCCTATGGTCTTTCAACACTAAGGCTCTCCAGTAACTTCCCACAAGGCTCTCCCCATCTCTCAGGCACTGGGTTTTTAACATGCAGAACCACTCACTCCCTCAAACAGTCAACACCCCCCTAGCAGTGACTGCAGCACAGCTGGTATACAGTACATGGCTAGTGAGACAAGGTTCTTTGGGTAGATGTGAGCTCTTTCATTAGACCAACTAAATAGTTGGGAAAGTTGGTCTTTGCAAGCTTTTGGGCACAAACACCCTTCTCCAGGCATAGGGAGAGTCTGTTGTTCAACAATCCTATGGCTAGGGTGGCATTTTGGAGTCCCTTGGCAGAGAAAAGGTACCATTAACATCACTGGTCCCAGAGCGAGGGTGCCCAGTATGGCTCAAAGGAGCTAGCAGACCAGTCCATGATAACGCATCTTTTCCAATTCCCCACCTAATTATGGCAGCAGAAGCAAGGAGGCCCTGCATGAAGCCTCTTTGCTGCTAGCAGCCTGTTCCTTCCTCCCTATTCAAGACCATTTCCTTGACAGTGATAGCTAGCGTACAAGGCTGTGAGGCTGGGCTCCTCCGACTTCCCTGCCTGGGCTCCCTCCCCCTCCGCCAGCATTTGTAAACACGTCTTTCTGCTTCACTCCTGACTGCCGGGAGCAGATTCCTGAGATGCAGATACAGGCGAAGCCTTGGAGTGCCGGGGAAGGCAGATAGACTCCCAGCTGTAACGAGATGCAACTGGATTACCATGCAGACAGCATGCCAACACTGGGGAATGGCGCTACTAGCAAAGCAGCCCCCTTGGCTTTTCAGGCACCGGTACCAATTTCTCCATCTCGGGCCATCTCAGCGGTCCCAAGGGGCTCCGATTCATTTGCAAGCAGTGCCCTGCAGCGTACAGTACAAGGTCTGTAGGGTTCACACCTCAAGTGATGCACGGGGGCCAGGCACAAAAAGGGCCTCTGGAAATGGTCCTTCCAGACATGGGATGAGGCACGGTGGAGAAAGAGAGAGGGGAAGCGCTCCTCTCCACTGTGCTCTGCTTTGGTGCATAAGAAAGGGCTCCAGTGTGTAGGGCTGCCACGGTGACATCTTCCCCCCATGCTACCAACATTACCAAGAGAAGCAGAGTGATGTCCCATGGTTATGTCTACATTCAGCTGCCATCAGTGTGGGCACCTCTGCCCATGGGGCAGCTCCATATGGCTCCAGCTGTGCTGCCCAGGGGTGACATGCACACTGGAAAGGCACCAGTTGTTGAACGGACCATGCCAGATGTGTAACTCCTCTCCGTGCCCCGCACCAGTTGCCGGGGTGGTAGCAAGAGCCCTCGCATGCTCAACACAGGTGGAATAAGAAAGGAGGGCTCTGCTACCAGAGAGGGGCTTGGCATAAATGTTCAAAGCTTTGCTGGCAAACCTGGATTTCTGCCAGCCAAACTTTGCAGCAGAGTCTCAGCCTGCGGCCGTCTTCATTTCTTCCCCCGCAACTAACCTCTCCCTTGCTTGCAAGCGGGACGGCTTGGATCCCAACGGTTCTGCAGCGAGCACCGTGCTGTGGTACCACCTGTTTTTTGCTTGTTCTCTTTGTTTTGCAGAGAAGCAGGGTGGAAGAAATACTAGAAGATAAAACTGGGGAAATATTCATTCGCAGACCTTGAAACTTGGAAGGACCACGTGAGGAGGTGGCTGAGCAGGGAACGGGCCCTGAAGCGGGGAGGCAGTCATCTCAGCTGCTGGTAATTGCTATCTAATAAACTATTTTGGTTTCTTCTCATGTGCATCCAAAACATGCAACGCGTGGCATGCTTGGGAATGGGGGGGGTTCAGCGCCGGAGGCCGGTTTCCAGGCTCTTTTCGCACAGGTGTCGATCCAAACCTATCCCCCTGAATTTGATGTGGCTGTGTGTGGGTGTCGCTGAGGTTAGACCCCGACACTGTGACTTCCCCTGCCCCGAGGCGCTCACATGAGCGGTCGCAACAGGAGACCCTTTAGTGTGAAGCCAAGCACTGCTTGGCACACTGATTTGTCGCTTTTTCTGCGCCTGGGTGAGAAACCTCAAAACCACATGCAGCCATTTCATGCAACGGCCGCTGGGCCTCGTCGTCGTACAACGTGTACAACATCGTACAACTTCGTGCCACACCGCTGCTAGCTCTCCCCACCGGACTTGACCTTGCCCTCTGCCTCCCTGGCCAGTAGACAGGACAAAACTCCTAGGGATGCTTAGATCTCTCCCCAAAACACCCTGTAGAAATCAGTATTTCAAATAAAAGATAAGAGAGACAACAAAAGCACTGTGGTTTCATTCTTATTGCTCCTTTTGAGAAAGCTCCTGCGAGCTTAGGGGCATCTTGCTGCCTCCATCATACTTGCCACCCATGAGAGTTGGGCATTTGAGGAAACAGTGGGTTTAGTGACATGATCAGAGCAAGGGAAATAATGGGGAGAGATTGCCTTTCTATTGAAATAGGGCTGAAAACAAAATTAAGGTGTGTTGTGAGAAAGCTGTGTTTCAAGTGGCTTGTGCAACCAGACATTGCTTTTCCCTCCCTGCTTGCGCCAAAGATTTCCTTCCCTTGACATTCGTCATGAGTTCCCCTCCCTAACCCCAGGGAAGACATACACTGCCCCAGAGAGATCCCCATCACATCCCAGCTCCCAGTTGCTCCCTACAGCCCCACTGGGGTCACTCCATCTGCATGGAGGCACTTGGGCAGAGACCGGACCAAAAACATGCTGCTGTCTGGGTGATGAGACTGCCTGGGTTGGCCTTCAGATATGCCACTGTGAGGGTGTGTTGGCCACCAAGGTGGCCCATTGCAGCTGAATTTGGGCCAAACTGATCTTTATTGAGCAAAGTCCAATAAGCCACCTTTCCCAAAAATGCACGGTGGCTTACCAGCCCCAAAATGAATGGTTCTACCATTCCCATGCCTAGTTCCCATCCTCATCTTCATCACTGCCCATGGACCTGACTTCCAGCTCCTCTGCAGCTTTGTACGCAACACTGGAAGTGTTCGCTATTTGGCTACCGCTGGCAGTAAAAGCCATTGCAGCCTGAAAAATAACACTGGGATGTGAGACGGCCTTTCTCCTATCTGTATTCCTGACATCCACTGCCCAGTGCTATTTCCAGCTGATTTGCGTTTTGCAAACAGACTATCATTTTGGTAACTCCTCAGTCTGGATGGCAATTCATCGGGAAGTGACATTGTAGTAGTAATCCCTGCGAGATCGTATGGCGGTGTTAGTTGTCTTACTGCTCAGCAGCGACCAGTTGTGTCTGCTAGAGGGATGTTCCTACAATGCCACATACAGGATTTGAGGGCCACAACCTCATGCTACCTTCTTAGCCTCCTTGTTCGTATGCCGATGACCGGTCTTTCTTTCCGGGACTTTTACTATACATTTTTTTTTTGCAAGGCTCAGCATTGGAGGGGGAAAAAATTGTTTAGTGCTTGCAAAGCTCTACTAGACATAATAGGCCTCTGGGGACAGATTTATCCTGCCTTTAGCTAGGCAACCACCCTGTTTAATCCCCTCCATGCTATCACTGCTTTGAGATCCACACTCCAGATCTTCCAACTGTTCCTTTCTTTACAAGTCTGAGGGCCTGAGGATAACTCCTGGACTGGCAATTAGTGCCATTCATCCTGGGAAAAGGGGTGAATTGGCCTTCTCTATTCAAAGGAGGCTAAAAATAGGGATGACATTGGAGTGAAAAATGGGTGAACTCATCAAATATCCCAGCCAGTAGTATCACACCTTTGGGAGCAGATCCCAAACACAGAAACAGGGTAGCGAGTCTGGATTTTACTCTACCATCTAACACCACTCATAAAAATCAGCGCTGTTGCTTCCATTTGGGTTGCATTCGTGTATGGTGATTACCAGCAGAAGGCCAAATCTGAAAGCCTTGGTTGCATTTTTCACCCAAATTTAATTCAGCTCAAGATCCTTTGGCTTCAGTGAGTGCTTTACCTGAGAGAGGAGGGAGTGGGCATTGCCTGAGTGAACGGCCCTTTTTTCCAAAAGGGGCAGGATCTTTCACCCTTGGCAAGCAAGCAATCATCAGGATGAACCGCGAGCGGCTCCACAGAGGACGCGGAGTGCAAGCAGAAGGAGACCTCTGCGAATAAACAGTGCAGAGAGCAGACAAAGTGTCCTTTGTAATTGGTAAGCTGCTTCTTCCCTTGTGCAGTGCACGGCCCAGACCCAGAGAGCTCTTGCAGGGGCATATCCATCAGCAGTTCGGAGGCCTGCTTCTCCCCCAGATGCCGGCTTGCATTTGTGATGGAGAAAAGGACTGGAAAGCAGTTGGATCCCTTCTCAGTTATGCACCGAAAGGGGCTTTCCACCTCTGTGAGATCCTGCCAGGAAGCAGTCAGATGCCTTCTACATACAGAGGGCCACGCGAGTGCTTTCACTGTATGGGTACAGCCATGGGCAGATCTGGGATTTTGAAAAGGGAGAGACGCACATGGCATAGGACATAATTGTGCATCATAAGGAACTCATTTTTCTCCAGTTAAATGAAACTACACAGTTTACTGATATGCCAGGGGGCTAGTACTACATTATTCCCTTTATAAAGCAAAAAACAAATATAATGATTGGTATGTGCATTCATTGGCTAGTTTGAAGGTTGTCTTTTTTTTTTTTTTTTTTAATGCCACAAATTAGGCAAAAAATAGTCAAACTACCAGTTTCAAGAGATATTTCCTCATTAGTCCTGTAGTCATTATGGTTAGATGTACATCTCTTCTTCAGGTTCATAAAGCAAAATCTAGCCGGTTTGAGCATGTGGACAGTGCCTCCATAATTCACCGTCAGTCATTTCTACACCTGAGTGAATATGACCACCCCTGAGTTAAGGTTTTTAGCCAGAGCTAAAAACAATCCACAGGGCTGTGAAATAAGAGAGACGTTACCAGGAATGGCCAACAGACAGCCAAATTGCAGAAGAAAGGCTAGTTGGCAAAATGAAACACCAAGACCATTAAAAAGGAGACGGGGTCATTCCCACCTGTGGAGTGGAGAGAGATTAGGAGGAATCAAGGAGGTGATAATGAGCCATGAAGTCAAGAAAACCACATGATGCTAAATCCAAGTCATCCATGATGCCACACAATGACTCTCTCAGCACTGTTCAATCAGGCTCTATCCGTGGCCCCAGACACCTCTGGGATCCCCACACAATAGCACTGGTCATCAGTCAACTTT